TCAAACCTGCGACCGCAGCCACTTTGAATGAAAAGGGGAGCAGACACATGGGAACACCTTCAGATGTGGTTTCACCCATGCCCTAATGTAAAACTGGAATACTGTGTACAATATTGGTCTCCTCAATTAAGGAAGCATGCAAGTGTGTTTTGAGCAGTTCAGAGAATATTTGCCAGATTAATATCTTGATTTTATTTAATTTGATTTATTATTGTCACATGTACCTAAGTACAGGGAAAAATTTTGTTCTGTGTACAGTACAGGCAGACCATACCATACAAAGTGCATTAGGGTAATAGAGCACAACAAGGAATACAATGTTATGGCTGCAGAGAAGGTGCACAAAGAGTGACGTCAACATTAAATTTGAAATTTGAGAGGTCCTTTCAGAAGTTTCATAACAGTGGGGAAGAAGCTGTTCTTGAACTTGTTGGTACACGTGTTTAAGCTTTTGTACCTTCTGCCCGACAGAAGAGGTTGGAAGACATTATAACCAGGATGGGAGAGGTATTTGATTATGTTGGCTGCCTTTCCGAGACAGCAGGAAGTATAGATGGAGTCAGTGGATGGAAGGTTGGCTTGCCTGATGGACTGCACTGTGTACCTGGAAAGAGGATCTGAGGGAAGGTTGGACAGGCTAGGTTCATATCCACTGGTGTTTAGAAGAATAAGAGCTGACTTAATTGAAGCATATAAGATCCTGAGGGGTCTTGACAAGGTGCACATGAAAAGAATGTTTCCTTTGGTTGGAGAATCTAGAAGTAGGGATCACTATTTCAAAGTAAGGGGTCATAATATTTATGACTGAGCTAAGACATTTTTTCTCAGAGCATCATGAGTCTTTGGAACTGTCTGCCTCAAGGGATGGTAGAAGCAGAATTTCTGAATTTATTTTTAAGGTGGAGGTAGACAGATTCTTGATAAGCATTGGAGGGAAAGGTTATTGGATGAGGCAGGATCTTGAGGTGCCAGATGGCCATCGTATTCTTAATTTATATGCAACACAACCAGCAGGAAATAATTACTCAAATCTCAAATACCTTTACTTGGAAGTACATTGCTACTCCTTCACTGGTACGTCAAAATGCTGGAATACCCTCCTGAAAATGCAATGCTCTGGCATGACATTATCTTGACTCTCTGCCTCTTGCTGCTCAGCTAATTTCCCAGCCAAAAATTTGCTTGCAATTCAATCGAGTTCCAAGTTCAGCTCACAATCTCTTAGGAGGAACTAAATCAAAAGCCTTCTGCAAGTCGTTATAAATAACAGTCATACATATCTCTCTGATCCCCAAATCTTCAATAAATTTCAATTGTATTTGTCAGACATGACCTACCCTTTACAAATCTACATTGGGTTTCTCTGATCAGATGCAAATTTTCAAGGTGTTGACACAATAGTGGAAAACATCAACAACCAATTTTCAACTTCCATAATCTGATTTGTATATCTGGGATCTTCATGGACTAAATAGTTTTAAAACATATGGATCTAAGATTGTCTCTGCAATAACCTGATGACAGATTGAGGCAAATTCAGGAAACCAATGTGGAATAACAAAATCATTTGAACTGAATGTACCATTTTATCTAAAAACATTGAAACCAGCCATTGAATCAGGTGAAGCATTGTATTTCCTTCTTTAATTTACGTTTATACGATAAGTTAGACATAAAAGGTTGCCTGCAACTCTCCAGCTTGAAAAGACACCAAACCAGGCTTAAGACTATACAAAGCAACTAAAATTTAGAAGCTGTCTGGCAGACGTGTAGCAGGAAAGAAAGAAAAAATGGATTGGGAACACTGAAGATGCTCTCTTTCACTGTCCCTTTTGCCTTATCATTATTTCAGGAAGTCAGTACCAGTGATAAAACAAATCAGAAAAACATCCATTCACTGAGAACTTGAGAATTTTACAAATTTTGCTCCTGCTTAAGAAACAAGATGTGGAATGAACAGTCGTGGCTTTAGGTTCAACTGAAATAACTCAAAGACTCCAAGAACATTTTAAACTAACTTAAAAGACTCAAAGAACTTTTTAAACTGCCTAAGATCTTCCTTGTTGTACTAGCTACTCTCACCTTCCTAAGCTTCATGCCTATTTTTGTGCATGTTTGATGTGGTGTTATACTAATATTCTCAGGGTAATAAAATTCCTCTTTCTTTCACTTAAGAAATCTTGCAATTAGCTCCTTAATTCTGATCCAGTGACCAAGTTTTAATGTATCTATATGCTAAAAAGAAATAAAACCTTGGTAGTGACTAACTATAGGGTTTAAAAAAAAGGGGTGTCAATTCACCCCTCTTTACCCATTTGTAACAGGTTTTCAATTACCTTATATTAAGGTATTGACTCCACTTGTCTGTCCCAACCTTTTTGTTGCCCATGGCAACCTTTACTGATAAAAAGAGCTCTTCTCTCCTAACAGTATTAAACTAGTTTTGTTTGAAATGTTTTGAACACTTCCCATTGATTTTCAGCTATTTTACACGGTTACAGATTTATCCAATTTACTGTGGACAATTTCTGTCTCATTCCATCAAAGTCACCCTCAATCAAATCTTGGTACATATTTTACATTTCTCCCCTTCAAACACAGTGTTGAACTCAATTAACCATGATCTAGATAAATGACAGGTGGTATGTGAGAGATTTAGGAAAAGTTTCAAAAATTGAAAGAATGATTTTGAGAGGCAAAGAATGGAAGAGGAGTAGAGGGTTCATCTGGGGACACACAATCGGTAGGCAATCATTGAGGGAAGTGAAGTAAAGAAAAGGAGGGATTTGAGGACTAGGATAAGATAACAATTTAAAGAAAAGGTTTGGAGGGATACGGGCCAGGAGTTGGCAGGTGGGACTACTTTAATTTGTTCGGCATGGACTAGTTGGACGGAAGGGTCTGTTTCCATGCTGTATGACTCCATGACCATATGAATTGAAACAGCAGTATGCCATTGGTTCATTGAGCCTGCTCCGCCATTCAACAGGATTATGGCTGATCCAATATTCCTCATGTCCACTTTCCTGCCCTTTCCCCCAGTAACACTTGATTCCACTACTGTTCAAAACTCTATCTATCTCAGCCTTAAATAGACACAATATGTTTAATCTTTGATCATCAGACAATCCCTCCAGACCAGGAATCAACCTAGTAAACCTTCTCTGAACCACCTCCAATGAAATTATATCTTTCCCTAAAATAATGGGACCAAACCTACTCACAGTACTCCAGATGTGGTCTCCACAGCACCTTAAACAGTTGCAGTAAGACATCCCTTACCCTTATACTCAAGCCCCCTGAAATAAGGGCCAACATTCCATTCTTCCAACATTCCAGCCTTCCTGCTACACCTGTGTGCTAGTGTGAGAATTCTCAGAGTGTGAGAAGTCAAAAAACGTGTTGGACACAATTATCATAGAACTAGAGGACATTGTGTTTTGAAGTATTTGAAGCTTATGGAGGGTTGACACTGGCAAGACAAACTCTTGTGAAACTGAGCTTTCTAATGATAAAAGGTAGACAAACAGGAGGCTGGAAGAACACAGCAAACCAGGCTGTTTCGGGTATAACCCTTCTTCAGGACTTTGGCATGGATTAGGATTTTTGCTAAGACAGGTAGAACTGGAGTTTGATATTGTTTTGGAGGTGGAGGAAAGTGTTACAGATCTGCTACAGATTTAAAATGAATGAGGAAACTCAGCCCAGTTTGAATAGAACAGAAGTATGTTGTACCATAAATTTTAGCCTAAGGGGCAGTCATAAGGCTAATGATTAAAAGAAAACAGCAACTGTGTTAGGATCCAGTGTGCAATAATGAACTATTATGGTCAAGGTATGTGACTTCAAAATGAAATCTTCAATCAAGACATTTTTCAAGTTCACTTGTCTCCTACTCCATCTCGAAGCTTCACGAGTTAAATATTTTCTCACTGTTTAAGTTTAAATACTTGCATAAGAACCATAAATCTTGTACCTTCTGATTAATTAAATGTATGTGATGTTCCAATAATGTATTTTGGAATCTGGCAAGCAAGTAATGATCACAGCTGTACACAGAATTTTTTTCTCATAGTAAAAGCATTCTTCACAGAATTAAACATTATGAGAAGGAAAGATCATTTAATATAATGCCTTTATGTATATTATTTAATATTACTGTACACATATACAACTACATAGCAAAAGACAAGCGCTCCCCTGGGATACACAGCGATAACTTAAAACTTTTAATACTACCTCTAACACTAACATTTTATTTTACAAAAATAAAGTGACATAAATATTAACATTTTAACAAACCAGAGTCTCAAGCATTTAACAGATTCAAGAAACACTCAAGGGTTTCCAAAAATACATATTTTTGGCAATGCTGGGGAATGAGACATAATTCCTCAGTTTACATCAACCTTCTACAGCATAGCATTAGAAACAGTCCCCATCAAATACCCCCAGGGCATGCACAACACGGGGTTAGATAGGAGCAAAGGCTTAAGAGCTGCTGGAGGGAGATATTTCAGCATGCATCCAATATTGAGAATTAAGGCTCCATGCAAATGCACACTTTATCTGAAAATTATTGCACAGATTTTAAGCTGATTTGTGGCTTATGATAATGCAGACAGTGCACTTTCCTAGGAACATTTAAAATGACTGGATTTTTGCCAGTGAAGGAGGAAGCTTAAGTTGGGAAAATTCCCGAATCAGGGGACCCAGGGTTCCTGTTCATCAAAGTTTTGTTCTGGAGAGGCGAAATAGAGTCGGACTGACCTCCCTAGAAGTAGCCACAGAGGAGGGTGGGAGCCAAGGTGAACTGGTTAAGAGACTTGAATCCGTTAGCTGAGATTTTGTCCCAGTCGTGTTGAAGGCTGTCAAACCCTTCAGTTGTCACCACTCGCATCCCTCATCATTAACAAACCCTCACTCACCCCACCACTGTGACAAAATGACAATAAGGAACTTCACTGAAAAAAATAACGATAGAATATTAATATCCTTACTTTGTTGCCCTCTTCAGGGAGAACTGGCTTGCTTCTGGACTTCAGATTTTTCTGTCCTTTCTCGGCCGCCGTCTGTTCACTATAACATTTTATGATCTGGTCCAGTTCTGGTTCACATCGATACGCATGTTTCAAGCCATTTTCTCTCACTGGGAACAAATATGTATTTCATTAATGTCAATTACCTGCCTATATAGACCAGGTGGATTTTCTTCTTTGAAAATATTGTACATGTTCTTCAATCAAAACAATGTCCCAATTTTACTCAACTGTAAGACATTATCACAGATATTTTCTTTGAAGAAATATCACGTCATTTGTATAGACATATTTCTTAACGTCTGATTAAAAACAAACCTTTTAGACACGCTCTATGCCACTAAAGAGCCTGTGGGGAAAAGCTGCTGATGTGATTCTACCAAGAACATGAGGAGCAGTTCATTTCCCAAATAAATTTTACGTTGCACGGATTAAAAAAAATAATTGTCACACAATACTTCTGCCTGGAAATTTTGATTTGATTTAACATTACAATTGAAGAATAACTTATCCTTACACTGTTGCATTGGGACAGTTTTTCTTTAATGAGACCTTAGTCAACCTGAATATTTTATTACCTGGTGTAGCTGAAATCAATATACCAAAAAAAAGTACAAAATAAAAATCTAGCAGATCCTAAAATTTCAATAACATCATTAGGTTACTTCCAAGTATCAGAAATTAGGACATATAGTTTAATACGATACTCCCAAATGGGACACTATACCAGCATACTTTCGCAGTTTTGAAGCATAAGGAAAAGTTCTCAGCTGCACATTAGAGCGAATTGAGGAAAGCTTCAAGTGCAGAGTACAAATTTTGTTTCCTAATTTCATGTACTCATTGTTCTGAGACATTTTACCTTCACAGTGATGAATAACTCTTTTCCACAATCTGTTGTTTCTTAGACAAGTCAGATTGCCTACTATCAGCAGGTGTCTTTTCCCTCTGGTAAGTGCTACATTCATGCGCTTCTCCGAGTCTATGAACCCAACGTGACGAGTCCTCACACAGGACAATATAATAATCTCCTTCTCTGCTCCTTGGAACGCATCAACTGTTGAAATGTGTACAGCTTTAATCTCAGCAGGGTCACATTTTGCAGTGTAGTCAAGCATTCCACATAACTGTGAGCATTTAGGAAAAAATGGATTGTTAGCTGGCACTTCTTTCATTGGTGAAAGTGTCCACAAATTCTTCCAGAAACAACTGATAAAATTAAACCAAAGTTTTGAAGCAGGTAGAAACATATACACTATTGTAAACAAAGCAAGTTGAGGAACAATAAATCCCTTTTTATAAAGGCAGAATTAGAACGCTTCATCGATATTGCCAATAACTGTTTATCCTCCATTAAACTTAAAGCTACAGACACAAGAGAAACATTAATTTCCTGGATACCATTTTTTTTATGTTGGTATGAAACAACAGGCAAAAATTGTTAATGTAAGTTTTTTTCCGAAATCACCAACAGACACTTTTACATTCAGAAAGCGATCACCTTAAAGACAGCTCCACAGACTGGTGAAGTCATACCTAATCCATGTCCACCACACATGCACAAATCTGGAACATTTGAAGCAGCCTGTTACAACCCTAGTTACTATATCTCCAATCTAAATCTCAGATTTGGAGTTAACAATTGAGAGTGCTTATTACAGTAGGATCTATTGCATTTTTCCAAGTTCCTGAACCTATATGGCCCTAAATTAGACTTTCCACATTTGTTTGCAAGAAATTTATTACCTCAGTGATTTTAAGTTTTCTTGGATCCTGGTTAGCTGAGTATTCCTTTCTTGACGCATTTAAAACTGTACATTCTCCTTTGCTACCTCCCCCCTTAACCCACAGCCCTCTTGCAGTTTCCTTCTCCTCATTACACCTCTTGCTACTTTTTCTCCACCTTCATACCTCTTCCAGCTTCCTTCTCCCTCGTCACCTCATGCTGCTTCCTAACCTAATACCCAAATCTCTCTTGCAGCATACTGCCCTACACAACCCCCTAAATGCCCTCCTTCCTTTGTCCCAAACTCATCTGAACCCTCCTCATCCCACTCTTACCCTTCTCTAAATGATGGCCCCACACAGGACCCAGCAGACGGAACTGCTGGATGCAGTAAAAAGCCATGCATTCCAGCCAATGGTGGATCTTGGCCTGTCCCTGCTCCTGGACGTCATGGTGATAGCTGAAAGAATGATGTATGTGCATTCTATTCTGCCAATTAAGTTTGTTCTGTTCCCAACTCCAGAATCCATCAAATCTAACTTCTAGAATGTACTTTTAAATACTGGTGTTGAAATCAATGTGTGTGTGCAATCACCACACTTGCAAATTGGAAATAATATGGTAATGTACTGGTCAGTTAAAGCCACTAGGAGATACACTGTACTTCTGAGTTTCCCATGTACTTCTGATTCCCGTTGTAATCACCCTGCCCACTATGATGAGAACTTAAAATCCAGCCCCTTATTTCTGAACAATCTTATTGAAGCACATAAGATACCAAAGGGGCAAGATAGGGCAAATGGTGAGAAATACTTCATTGTTGAGGAATCTGGAATGAGGGAGCACAGTTTAAAACTATAGAATTGTCCAATTAAGACAAACATTAGGAGGAATTTCTTCTCTCAGAAAATCATAAATTCTTTACCTCAGAAAGCAGAGAAGGTGGAGTCATTCAATTTATTCAAGATTGTGTTAGACAGATATTTGATCAACAACACAGTCAATGGTTAGGGCAGATCGCAGCGGAACAGAGGATCAGCCATGATCTGATTGAATAACCAGGCTTGATGGGACTTTTTAATGACATTATATTTATGATTCTTATAAGACTTAGTATTCATGTACAGATGTGTTAACATATTTTCAGTTCCTATTATAAATATCACAGCCAAAAGAAAATGTATCTCTTCCTCGAATTTAACAAATACAATGCTGCAGAAGGTTCACTAGAACAAAAGGTATTGACAAATAAAGACAAATTTTGTCAAACCTTTTTGCTTTGCATTCATCAGATCATTTCGCAAGAATGCAAATTCAAGGGGAAAACTAACATTTATGCTGCATAAGAGAAGAGTCCCGATTAGCTGGCAACTGGACTTTGCTTAGTAGAGCCGTTGTTATGGAGAATGCATGCATTAGTGCTGATGATAGTTAAATGTCATACTTTGTTTAAAATTTAAACCAGTAGGTTTACTCAAATGTGCAAGTGTCCTACACTGCATGTCCAATTATTGATTATAAACTGGCTTTCAGCATAATTCTTCACACACTCAGGATTATTCTATAAGTGTTGTCCAATTACAGAATCCCATCTAATGTTGGATACTGTGGTGCAAATTTTGCAAGTTGAGTATGGTCAGCACCTTGCCTATTGTAAACAGCTGAAGAGATATGCTGTATGATATGCTCTGCAAGTCCTCCTATGTACTTGCCATCACATTTGGAAGTGTAAGGTTTGAACAATAACTGAAGTTAGTTGTTGCACACTGCTAATATGCAGTAGCATATCACTTCCGTGTACTGGAAGCTACTTATGTTGGTACACAGGACTCTGTTCTTTGCAGACAGAAAGAACATATACACACATTGCATTTGTTTCAATTCAATAAAACAGGTGACAGCCATTCTCTGGTTCATTTTTCTGGGCAATGTCATGACTAATCAGAGAAAACCTGCTGGGTTTACAATTTAAACACCCCTAGCAGTTAACTGTCAATCAGTATTAAAAGATGCATTCTCCACAGCAACATCTCTACCAAACACAGTCCACTTACAACCAGTCTGTACTCTTCACTCAGGGAGTATAAACGTTGGTTTTCACCTTGAGTTGAGTCATAGAATCCCTACAGTGTGGAAACAGGGTCTTCAGCCCAACAAGTCCACACCGACCCTCTGAGCATCCCACCCAGACCCATTCCCCTATAACCCACCTAATCTACACACCCCTGGACACAATGGGCAATTTAGCATGTGAAACATACTGACAATGTAAGATGAAAAGCTTTGACAAAACTGGGTCTTTTTCAGCAATGTTCAAGTTCTGCACTACCAAACACCTATTTGAACAAATGTAAATAGAATACAATTCTAAAATGTAAATAGAAATATCTTACTCACCTTGTGCATCTGAGATTTGTACAATGTTATCACTCCAATCATAGATCCTTTAATTCCACAGGCTATCAGGGACTGGATAAGTTTCACAGTGAATGTTGCTTCTTCTAGATTATGGCAGCTGCCATCCCTGTCCAGCTGGACAGATCAGGATATAAATTACAACAAAATGAAATCATGCAACATTCATATTTTATAAATTTAATGTGAGTTCTGTGCTTATTTTTTTTTAATTTGGTAAGATCACGAAATATGGCTGCTAAGTTACACTGATTTTATTCAGTATTGATTACTCATTCCCAGGAAGTAACTAATTATCTCTATATGGATTAACATGACAGCATCCAACGTGTGGCAAAATTGCTAACACAGCCCTTTCATCACTGCACTGATCAGATGAACTATATCCAAGTCGCACTGCATAGAAAGCTTTACTTTCAACCTTTCTGACAAAAGGAAACTGAAAATGCGTCCAAACAAACAGAATGTAACTGCAAGTCCAGGAATTGTGAAGCACTGTGTAATCTAAATTGGGGAAAGGGGAAGTTTGATATGAAAGGTAGGGCCAGAGAAAGAAATCAGGGCCCTAGTGCTATACAGGCCTGGGCAACCAGCACTGTCCCTGACTTGAGCACAACGGCTTAACTCCTGACCAAGCATAGGAGCGCTCGAGAGTTGTAGGACCCTGTTAATGTATCCCTATCCTGGGCCTTGGAAGAATCATCATATCATAGAATCCCTACAGTGTGGAAACAGGGTCTTCAGCCCAACAAGTCCACACCGACCCTCTGAGCATCCCACCCAGACCCATCCCCCTATAACCCACCTAATCTACACACCCCTGGACACAATGGGCAATTTAGCATGGCCAATCCACCTAACCTGCACATCTTTGGACTGTGGGAGGAAACCGGAGCACCCGGAGGAAATCCACGCAGACACGGGGAGAACGTGCAAACTCCACACAGTCGCCTGTTGCTGGAATCAAACCCAGGTCCCTGGCACTGTGAGGCAGCAGTGCTAACCACGGAGCCACCGTGCTGTCCTAAAGTTCCCGCTGGCCCCCATGAGAGCTGAACACACGACCCCTGGTTTCCAAGGCCTGTGCCCTAATCACTGAACTATGGAGCCCTATTAACTTTTAGGACTTATCCTCAATCATTCAGCTTTCACTGCTTTGCAACTTTATGACTCAGTTTACTTGTTCATCCTGGAGCAATGAAGATTAACAGTATCAAATACCTTCAAAGCCTTACATCAAAGCAATGGCACATACCAATGGTTCTTCTACCTAACACAGCTTTTCAGTTAGAGTTTCGTGAGGATGCATATAGGATATAACTGGGTCTTCATCTCTCTGCAAAAGTTCAAATTATCTGAACTAAAGAAAACTTTCTTCTACTTAGTTGGTCAAATTACAATCTTAGC